GGAGGTTGGGGAAACTAGTAGAAATTTTTACAAGGTAAAGAACAAAATGAAAGCACAAGTGATAGGTCATGGAATGACCTGCTTTATTATAAAAACTTATATTTGGAGGGCACCTTATACTTTATAAAACGTTTAAAAGGGGTGTTCAGTCCTCATAACCTCCTGGTAGGGTAGGTTTTTCTGTCTTTATTTCTTTCAATGAAAATTCTGAGGCCTGGAGGTATTAGGCAGTGTGTCGGCCTAGCCGTGCGGCCTGACTCCTGGTGTTGGGGATGGTTTTCTGAGTCTTCAGAGAGCAGGTGTTCCTGGTCGGCCTGCAGCTGCCTGGTCCTGTATCTTGTAGGGACATAGCGTCTTCATTTAAAAAACAGCCCTGCTTCCTGAGGCAGGGCTCCCAGTCCATTCTGCTTTACTGGCAAGGCTGCTAAGTGCCCTTCTAAAGCACACTGATTTCATTACTCAGCTAATTTAGAAGCTAAAATGATAGTAGCAAATTTACAGGAAACTTACTATTCCATATGTTTCAAAGACGTTCTGGCTTAACAGAAGGTGGAAAAGTGACTCTATAAGTGATCACTCACAGTCCAAATTTCTTTTAAAGTAGGAAGTGTTTTCTTCGTAATTAATGAATGATTCTTCCCCTTTCCGAACCTTCAGCAGTTTGGGAAATTGTATCATTATGTTGTTGGGCATTTTGTTCTCTCATGCTGCTTCCTTCTCGCTGGGAAAAGAGCAGGGTGAAAGATGTGTTTGGGATGCCACCTATGTTCCCAGGGTGGTCAGGGGACTCGTCCTTGCTCCAAGTCTAACAGCTGGTGGCCTTGGGCAAGTCACTGCACCCTGCTGGACCCTCCAGGAGGGGTTGGGGTTCACGGTTTCCAGCCTGCCTGCTCATCCAGATCTTCTGAAGAGCCTTGAAAAATCCCAAGACCAGGTGATCCTAGGGTCTGGGTCCCCTGGTGTGTGAGCCCAGCCCACGAGCATTTGAAAATGTCTGCACAATCTTTGCCATTTTAGGTTCTGCTGAGGCTACAGAAGTTATTCTTCAGAAAGTTTGCTCTGCTTAGACTTAAGGTTTTGGATCACATTATAAACATTTTGGCATTTTGGCTGAAAGGTTACCTGCAATAGCTTGATATGCCTATGCACTTTGAATGCCCAGTGGTCATGTGAAGTTGCGCTCCCATGGCTCAAGCCGGAGTCCAGCTGCTGATGCTGTGTGGTATGGGCTGGGCATGGTGACCTGGGGAGGCATCTGTGTTCTCTGCTGGGGCAGTGGTGGCTTGGTGGCCACAGGTAGCCCTTGCCCAGTGTTTTGTCCTGTCTGCAGAGCATGCAGAAAGCAGCTAGGCAAAGGCACTGTTTGCAGCCTTTGAGAACTGTTAGCTTTAAGTGGCCTAGAGTTACCCCCAGAAAAACAATTCTACTTCTGTTCCGCTCCGTCCAATTAAAACAAGTTTATTCATCTGATTCTAGGAGCTATTTTCCGTTGTTTCTGTGCATTCATCAGTTGTGTATTTGCTGCCCAAGTTGCAGTTATTTGTGGTCCATTCATGGACATGATTTGAACAGGAAGGAAGCTGGGGTGGCAGATGTGCTAAGAGATGTCAGTGCTGTGGCCCCACACCTCAGCCAGAAAAGCAGGTGGGAGGAGCCGGTCTCTTGGTAGCCCATAGCTGCTTGGCCTGCGGAAACCTTTGTAGTTCAAAACACGACATGTGGCTACGTGTATGCATTATTTGAAAGTACACAAAAAAGCAAAGGGAATCCAACCACAAAATGCACGTCATGCTGGCAGCATGTGTGAATATATATGTACATATATATTGTGTTCGTAGTCACTATTTATAGCATTTATACATAACATCTCATTGATAGTTTCACTGTGACCCTACTGGGGAATTTAGGGCAGAAGAGAGAATGTTTCCATTTTCCTAAGAGGGAGCAGACTCACAGCCATAGCCGAGCAGATTCCAGAGCTGGCGAGTGGTGGTTACTGGACACCAGCCCTGGGATCCTGCCTTGGTGCCACTGGCCTTCCACACCTACAGCACGCTGAGCCATGGGAATGGCATGTGGTTTCAAGGCGTAGGGGTGGTTGCACTGAGTCATTTGTAAGCTCCCAGGGAACAGCAGCATGTTTTTGAGAGCGCTGATGGGGGGGGTGTGTGTGTGAATACTCCCACTGTGCCTGGGGCCAAGAGAGCCTGCACTTCAGCTGCTGACTAGGGTTTGACCCCTCAACCTTGACTTGACTTAGCTGATCTTACAGGTAAAGTCTGGATGTTCATTTGCATAAGGGGTTTTAAGTTAGATGTATTCTTTTCCCGAAGAGATGAAGTTCAAACCCCATATTATATAGATGTTAAAGACTGGGAGAGACTTTACCTACACAGTTATTTAAATACTTGAAGGAAAGAAAGGTTCAGTTGAAATGATATATAACAACATGCTATTTGGAGGTGGACATGTTTTATATTCCACATTCCCTTAATTTGATAGGAAAAATATCATAATTAGGTTCTCTAACTTCAGATATAAACAATATAAATAATTTTTTAGTGTACATATAATATATAATTTTTACATTAGTATAAAGTCATATGTACAAAAATGTGTTAAATCTGAGAAAAGATTACATTGTTTGTGGGATATTTGCAGTTTTAATGTAAGCCATATCACTCGGCCCAAATATTCTCATGAGGGCAGAAGCACATGCTTCTATCCATGTTCTCAAATGCCCCAAGAAAGA